ATGAATAATATCAAAGCAACTAGAAGCACGACTACCATGATTAGGGAAAGGCAAAACTTTGCTCTTACTGAGTTTACAGGTAGTACAATCAAGAGATAGATGAATAGAATCTTTATTATCCAAATAACCTTGTTTCACAAGATAAGTCAAAATAGTAGAATTGGGATGTCCCAATTTCTTATACCAGACATTAGAGTTCTCAATTACAGCAGTATAAGCTAAAGAAATAGTACTAGGAGTGGAAAATTGAAACGGAAACAAATGTCCCACATTAGGCCCTTTCGCGATCACTTTCCTCGATGCTTGATCCTATTCAAGACAACCATCACGACCAAAATGAACATCAAAATTGTTATCCACCAATTGTCCAACAGAAATCAAACTTGTAAATAAATTAAGAGATACAAACACATTGTTAAATGAAGGCACCAAGTTTCCAACTGCAATAATTGGTAACGTACTACCATTGGCTATTTCTATGTGTTGTTTACCCTCATAATTTTTAATATCATGCAAGATATCCGTATTTACAGCCATATGATTTGAAGAAGAGAAGTCAACCAACCAAGGAGAAGAGAGTAATTTTTCTTACCTTGCAGTCCCAAAGCAGAGAAGGTGAATATAATCATTTGTTGTATCATCTCGGTTGTGTGAATAGAAGAATTGCTTACTGAGGTTTGATCACCATATGAGGTAGACTGAATGTTAGCTTGAAAAGCTTGAGCCTAGTGATTCTGAGGTCATACTCAACAGTCTTGCAGTAATTACAGAATGTCCTGTTACAATGCTTGGCAACATGTCCAATCTCTTTGCACTTGTAACATTACGGCTGATGTTTAGATTTTCCCTATCCTTGGGCAGCGTAAGCTACATTAATAACCTCAGAGGACACTGTTATTTGTCCCATTGCCAATTGAGTGGTGAGACGTAGTTCTTCACATAATAATTCTCCCAGACAATGATGAAACATGATTACGGTTGAGTAAACTAGCCTTAACAGTTTCAAATTTCGATTGGAGCTTCATAAGAAATTGATCCCTTTGATTTTTTCTAGAATTTCTTGTAGTGCAGCTAATGCTTCTTTGGGAGCCTTGGAATGAATTATACCAAAGTATTCGCTCAATAGATTAAGAAAACAGTATAAAATTGTTCAAATGGTAGATTACCTTGACTGTATTGTGCAATCTCTAATTCCAATTGAAACTTATGGGCAGAGTTTCCTTGATTGTAAATTCATCCGAGATAATCACACATATCTTTAGCTGTGGTGAATGAACGGAGATTGGATATCATATGATATTCGATTGATCCCAAAATCCATAAAATAATACGAGCATCTGCACTTTCCTATTGTTTTTTCCCTTTTTTATCCTCAGGAGTCCTAGGTCTCCAAGTTCTTTGCCTTTTATAAACATTTTGAACTGAAACTCCCATGTGAAATAAATTTTCCCATTAAAACGGATGAGAGTATTTTCCGTTGACACAATGCCTCTAATCAGACAACAACCTTAATATGTTTATGACGGTCCAAACAGTGCCCCAACAATGGCTCAAAAGAATAAATTATATCTCAGGCAACAATAGGTGAATGTCAACAGCCTAAAATGTAACCAAAAGATAGAAATATTAGCTCAATTAACAATATGTATCAGCTACCCAATCAGCCCAAAATAAATTTGGTAACTATAGCTCAACTATCATGCCAAATTAACAACCCAATAGTATAACAACATCCCAAAAAAATGAACTTGCAGGTCAATCGTCTCTCCCGCAATCGATCTTCGCCTTCGTCACCGATCGTCGCCTCTGCTTGCGACGTTGTCTACGCCGTTCACAGATGGACGGCAAACTGAGAAACAAAGAAAAAATTGACTCTCTCCAGAATAAAACGCGAACCGTCCAATGTTCATCCAGAAGAAAAGGAAGCCAAAACACCAAAATAAATTGGTTATATTTCTAACCAGATTCTACGACGCCTAGAAACTTTAAGAAAATTATAGAATCAGAGAAGGCTTTGATACCATGTTAGAATTGTCTGAACACCTCTCAATTGAGAGTTTCTCCTCATTAAATAGGAACTTTATCCCTAATTACGTCCCAAATTATGGCCAAGATATTTCTATCAAATCTCCTAATTACATCACAATCATAATTCTTATATAAGGAAATAAAGACTATCTATATTTACAATATAATCATGTGCATAATGTGTGTGATATGCTGTCAAAATATACTCGTGCTATTGACTGAATTGATGGTTGGAGTACTCATAGCCACATCCCCCATCGTCGGAAAAGGTCACATGCTATTAACGATTTGTCCAAGTGGGCATGAGCTTGTGTACATGGACGTGAGTGGAGTAGGGATCAATTTGCCATGTCAACCATGCAAAAACCGATGTCAACAGCATGTATTCTGGTTGCTTTAAGCTGCACTCAAACAAGCTTCTAGGTTTCCTTCAGAATGTTCATTCATGAAATCGGCTCGAACCCTCTTCATTTCATCTAAGGACCATACCAATTCAGAAACTGAGAAATCAACGAGTTCCTTACAGTCATCGATGGTCAATCGTGTTCTCAAGTGCAGCTCGGATTGCCGAGGTTGGTGTCCGACTGACACTGTCTTTGAGCCGGGAATGTAAGTTTGATAAACATGCATTTAGCTTCTCAATTTTGTTACAGGTTTGAAATATCGTGGCGGCCTCAAGGGTCTGTCTTTGATTTTCTAAAGAAACACCCCGGAGAAAACTTGAAGGCAACATAAAAGAATGAAAACAAGAAGAATTTTGGCTGGTAACATTGATGAATTACTATGACGTATATTGACAAAGAAAGAGAGGACAGAGGAGATCCGTCTATGTGAATAAACTGTGGGATAGCTTTTCTTGGAAGAAACAAGAACAAATTATGCCCTTTCCCTCGATGAAGCACAAGTTACGCTACCTTGTATGTCCTGCTGTAAAAAATCTTCACTATTCATCTTTTGATTGCTTTTCGCAAATGCCATTTCTAGGATTCTCAAAGTAAAATATCGTGTGTAGCACCCTAGAATATTGGACAATTTATGATTTTATCAAGTTCTTTTCTTCCTTAATCATGTTTAATTTTCGAAGAAGTGATCTATGTTTTGTTCCAGTACTTCCAACATATAACATGCTTGTATATTCTAACAAAGGCTTTGATATGATATTTCTGAGCTAAATGTTTGATGAGGAACAAGACTTTAAAGTAATAAACTAAGTAATAGAAATAGTAGTGAGTTTCACAAATTAAATATGAGAATAATAATTAGTATGAATGTGTTATTGAAATTAATATTTAGCTTTGATTAATTTTATAAATCATTTATAAATTTCTTTTCAAACAAAAGCAGAAATACCAGTTTTAACTGGTAAGAGCACCGTATCAAACCGGACAAGGATTAATTTAATCGTTTGGTACAAATAATATTCAAAAATAACTAATCCGGCAAGCTTTTTTCAACTAAGTTAGAATAATACATAGGTTTAGGTTAGATTATTCATTCACACTTTGATCAATAATAGAGAAAAGTTAGTTTGATTCAAACACGTAAATTTGTTTGATTCAGAAACATAAATGTATTTATATGTAAGTTTTTGTGAATAAATAAGCAAGGTTTAAAATAAATAATTTTTTATTAAGTAAACTAAGTTTTTATTTATTTGATTATTTACTTTGAAAAAATCAAATGGACTTTCATTTTTTATATTAACCTAAGAGTTACTTAAAAGTGTGGTTGTATTGTCACTACAACTTTTATTTGATACACCACATTATAATTGTAATGAAGCTCCTCAATCTTTGCTTTTTGTAGCAATTGTTTCCTAACTTTTTTCTGTCGAATTATAATCTTCAACGTTTCACTAATTAATATATATCATCCTTGATTATAATTTATATCAAAATATTTTGTTTTCATAATTTGAGATGAGGAAAAAAATATTTTTTCGTACTTTTTTTTATTTACTTTTTAATATACGAGGAAAATTTTAAGTTGTTTTACACCATTTCAATGGACTTTTAGCTATAAAATTGTTATCAAATACAAAATATGTTAACTAATGAAACATTCAAGGATAAGAATGCATGAGAAATTGATAGAAATATAAGTGCTATAATGAGTAAAAATTAAAAATTTTAAGTATAAAATAAATAAAAATTGTTGTGTGAATATAATTACCTAACGTAAAATTAATTTAATTGTAATGTGGAAGAGAAAAGTAACTCTTGTGATGTAACTTCCGTTTAGTAGACTTTTAAGACAATTCTTGTACTTCTATGACAATGCCCTTTTATATATAAAAATCCATACTTTTATGTTGTTCTAATATAGTAAGTATAGCACCAAATGACGTATAAGAACAATACATCATAATTCTAAAATTTCACTAATCCTACCCCTCCTAATTTATTGTCCCCTAATTTAATAGGTGTAACAAACACATCCTATTAAATTTGTATTTTTAAAGACTTTGTTAAGTGAATGACTTTTGTACAATTTAATGAAATTTTGTTGATTTGTATAGGCTTTACCGAATCAATGCAAGTATTTCTAGATTTCTTTAGATTTTCATTCAAAGAATTTTATATACTTATCAACTTCA